GGGAACTGGTATGGTTGGGATGGAGCTGGGTACACCTTGGAGAGGGGGCTGGTGTAAATGAGACAGGGACAGGTATGGTTTGGGATGGGGCTGGTACAATTGGGAGAGGGGCTGGTGTAAATGATAGGGACATGGAACTGGGTATGGTTTGTGATTGGTGGCAGGTGCAAAACGGGGACAGGGGTGGGGCTGGTGTAAATGGGACAGGGGCTGGTGTAAAGGGGATCATGAACTGGATATGATTCGGGATGTGGCAGATGCAACTGGGAATAGGGACTGGTGCAACTGGGAGAGGGGCCGGTGTAAACGGGACAGGGACTGGTATGGTTGGGATGGGGCTGATACAACTGGGAGAGGGGCTGGTGTAAATGGGACATGGACTGTATGGTTGGGATGGGGCAGGTGCAACCGAGACAGGGGCTGGTGTAAATGGGACTGGGACTGGTATGGTTGGGAAGGGGCTGGTACAAACTGGGAGAGGGGCTGGTGTAAATGAGACATGGACTGGTATGGTTGGGATGGGCTGGTACAACTGGGAGAGGGGCTGGTGTAAATGGGACAGGGACTAGTATGGTTGAGATGGGGCTGGTAAAACTGGGAGAGGGGCTGGTGTAAATGGGACAGGGACTGGTATGGTTTGGATGGGGCAGGTGCAACTGAGACAGGGGCTGGTGTAAATGGGACAGGGACTGGTATGGTTGGGATGGGGCTGATACAACTGGGAGAGGGGCTGGTGTAAATGGGACATGGACTGGTATGGTTGGGATGGGGCAGGTGCAACCGAGACAGGGGCTGGTATAAATGGGACAGGGACTGGTATGGTTGGGATGGGGCTGGTACAACTGGGAGAGGGGCTGGTGTAAATGGGACAGGGACTGGTATGGTTGGGATGGGGCTGGTACACAACTGGGATAGGGGCTGGTGCAACTGGGACAGTGACTGGTATGGTTGGGACAAGGACTGAAATATATTATCATTATAATAAACATAGAAAATACTAAATATGTATTGGCTCCCCGACAAACATGAGTATACATATTACAATATAGAGCACCTTCACGTAAACTTGTGACTCTCCAGCTCACATGATCACATATTTCAGAACATGAAATTAGTGGCGGGATCCAGAAATGTTTAGGCGAATATGGAGTGTGGTCTTTCCAAAGATTCAGCCTAAACCCCCAGCTTCTGTATTTCAGGCCGGGCAGTCATTTAACAAGTGTCCATTCACAATCGGCGATGAGGTGGCTCTGGAAGTTCGCCAACAAGAAGCCATTTTGGATCGGTAAGATATTACTAGAACGTAACGTAGAAAAGTGTTGTACTTATTTTCTGTGTTTATTATGGTCAGAGTAAAGAAATTATATATATATATATATATATATACGCACAGTATATATGTACAGCGGGTAAAATAAATACGGAACACATCACCATTTTTCTCAGTACATATTATTTCAGGTACCTTTCATAGGCTTTTTTGGGTGTGCTTTGAGTGTGGGCAAGAACACAGGGGGCCCCATGATCCCCTATTGCCCGGGGGCCCATGAGTTGTCAGTCCGCTCCTGGTGCTGAGAGCATGTCCAGTGCGCTCTCCCAGCGCAATGACTGTGCTGTCAAAAGAATGATCGAGATCCAACGAGACCACTTTTTGCGTAATCCAGATCTTTGTTCCCTCAGGCCTGAAGTCATCAGAGAGACGCCCGCCTTGGTCCTGGGCAAGCGGACAACACTGGAGGCCCAGCAGCTTCAAACCATCGTCTTCATTTCTGTCTGGAGCCTCGGAGGAAAGCTGCATCCTCGTCCGGAGGAGGAAAGAATGGACGGAGAGAAGCTGCAGCGAGAGACACAGATACATTTGCTCCATGATGTTATAAAGCTGCTGAATCCTACCGATGGCGGGAAGTCAACGGCGCCCACGTTTAACCTTACAGATAGTAAAAAGGCGCGAGATTACGGGGATATTACTATCCGTCCCTGAGGTGCCGTACCCAGCGCAGTGTACAGTACTTGTATTTAATGCAGACGTTTTGTAGCAGTTTTATGAGAGCTCATAAATCGTCCTCATATATGAAATGTTTCACTTTTTCTATTTTTTTTTTTTTTTTTTTTATATATATATATATATATAAAGCTCTTAGAACTTTCCACCAATAAATCCAAAGAGAATTTTCGACACTAGTGCGTTTATTCCGGTCTCTCTAGAGACTGGTCCAGAAATTCTTCAACAGCAAGTGAACACTGGGCAGATATAAAAGAGAAAAATAAATGCAACTCTGTATTCATTTATTTTATCAATAAATGTGCCTTGTAAATAGAAGCCGTGTAAGTATCTGAATGGAACCTGGTATCAACCTCTTGCAGTCCTGAACAGCAGAGCCAGATTCTGAGAGGAAGAAGCAGCACAAGGAGCCAATCGGTGCATGGGGTGACAAAAAGTGTGCTGGGCACAGTGAGAGAGAGATGAGATCCCTCCTGTGCTGCTTCTCCTTACATTGGAGGTCAGTGGGAAGAATGTCCCTTACATTGGTGGTCAGTGGGAAGAATGTTCCTTACATTGGTGATCAGTGGGAAGAATGCCCCTTACATTGGTGATCAGTGGGAAGAATGCTCCTTACATTGGTGATCAGTGGGAAGAATGTCCCTTACATTGGTGATCAGTGGGAAGAATGTTCCTTACATTGGTGATCAGTGGGAAGAATGTCCCTTACATTGGTGATCAGTGGGAAGAATGTTCCTTACATTGGTGGTCAGTGGGAAGAATGTTCCTTACATTGGTGATCAGTGGGAAGAATGCTCCTTACATGGTGGTGGTCAGTGGGAAGAATGCTCCTTACATTGGTGGTCAGTGGGAGGAATGCCCCTTACATTGGTGATCAGTGGGAAGAATGCCCCTTACATTGGTGATCAGTGGGAAGAACGTTTCTTACATTGGTGGTCAGTGGGAAGAATGCTCCTTACATTGGTGATCAGTGGGAAGAATGCTCCTTACATTGGTAGTCAATGGAAAGCATGCCCCTTACATTGGTGGTCAGTGGGAAGCATGTTCCTTACAATTACAGTTTCAAGAAAAAGTATGTGAACCCCTTGGGAATATGTGGAGTTTTGCATGAATTGGGCATAAAATGTGCGCTGAACGTCATCTAAGTCACAACAATAGAAGAACACAGTCTGCTGAACATAATACTACACAAACATTAGATGTTGCCATGGTTTAATTGCACATAACATGTAAACATTCACAGTGCAGGGAGGAAAAAGTATGTGAACCTTTGGACTTAATAACTGGTTGACCCTTTGGCAGCAATAACCTCAACCAAACGTTTCCTGTAGTTGCAGATCAGACCTGCACAACGATTTGGAGTAATTTTGGACCACTCCTCTTCACAAAAACTGTTTCAGTGTAGCAATATTCTTGGGATGTCTGGTGTGAATCGCTCTCTTAAGGTCATGCCACAACATTTCAATCGGGTTGAGGTCAGGACTCTGACTGGGCCACTCCAGAAGGCGTATTCTGTGCTGTTGCAGCCATTGTTTTGTTGAATTACTTGTATGCTTTGGGTCATTGTCCTGTTGCATCACCCATCCTCTGCGGAGCTTCAGTTGGCGGACAGATGGTCGTACGTTTTCCTGCAAAAATGTCTTGATAAACTCTGGAATTCATTTTCCCATCAATGACAACAATCCGTCTAGGCCCTGAGGCAGCAAAGCAGCCCCAAACCATGATGCTCCCTCCGCCATGTTTCACAGTGGGGATGAGGTTTTGATGTTGGTGTGCTGTGCCTTTTTTTCTCCACACATAGTATTGTGTGTTCTTCCCAAACAACTCAATCTTGGTTTCATCTGTCCACAGTATATTTTGCCAGTAGTGCTGTGGAACATCCAGGTGCTCTTTTGCAAACTTCAAACGTGCTGCAATATTCTTTTTGGACAGCAATGGCTTCCTCCGTGGTGTCCTCCCATGTACTCCATTCTTGTTTAATGTTTTCCTTATTGTAGATGTGTCAACAAAAATGTTAGCATGTGCCAGAGATTTCTGTAGGTCTTTAGCTGACACTCTGGGATTCTTCTTTACCTCATGCAGCATTCTGCGCTGTGCTCTTGCAGTCATTTTTACAGGACGACCATGCCTAGGGAGAATAGCAACAGTGCTAAACTTTCTCCATTTGTAGACAGTCTGTCTTACCGTGGACACATGAACATCCAGGCTTTTGGAGATACTTTTGTAACCCTTTCCAGCTTCATGCAAGTCAACAATTCTTGATCGTAGGTCTTCTGAGAGCTCTTTTCTGCGAGGCATGGTTCACATCAGACAGTGCTTCTTGAAACCAGTAAACCCAAAACAGGTGTGTTTTTTTAGGGCAGGACAGCTGTCAGCAACACATCCAATATCATCACACTGATTGGAGTCAAGGTTGGCTCACTCCTGGCTTCAATTAGCTTGGGAGAAGTCATTAAGCTAGGGCCTCACATACTTTTTCCTCCCTGCACTGTGAATGTTTACATGCTATGTGCAATTAAACCATGGCAACATCTAATGTTTGTGTTAGTATTATGTTCAGCAGACTGTGTTCTTCTATTGTTGTAACTTAGATGACGTTCAGAGCACATTTTATGCCCAATTCATGCAAAACTCCACGTAATCCCAAGGGGTTCACATACTTTTTCTTGCAACTGTAGTTACATAGGTCATTGGTGAAGGTGGTAAGTTATTTGGGAGGCAGAAATTGTTTATCTTTCAAGGAACGCCTAGCATTCTCTGGAGGATCCCTAGGGTTCTACAGAACTTTCCTTCAGAAAAACTTGTTATAGAGGGTCAGTTGAGTGACAGCTCTGATTCTGCTGGGGCTGCTGATGTCACATCTAATATCTAAGTGTAAGTGGCCAGCAGCATTCTCAGGCCTTTTGGATGTCTAAATAAGGAAAGCTTTAACAGGTAAATAATATGGCTAAAATATGCAAAAAGTTACATACTATATATTCTTATGGGAAATGTTTTTTAAATTAGTCTGGTGACAGGGTCTCTACTGCACAACCAAAAACTAAAAAAAATGTAAAAAAATAGCCAGAAGGCCTTTGAGAAAAAAAAAAAATTCCTTATTTTTTTACTTGTACACTCCCTGTGGTGCACGAGTGGAGATGGGTGCCTGCAAATGTACAAAGGGCAGGATTTTTGAGTTTGTATAATAAAAAACAAATGTGTAAACTTAATTTATTTTTTTTTGCATACTCCCCTGCTACATTTATACACTTTATCCCAGCGTTTAACTAATGCCTGGAAAGCTTTGACATAGAAAAATTTGTCAGTACGCCTGAACCATCCTGGGACAGCCGGCTTCACTTCATCATCGTTGTGTTCACCGTTCACACAGAAAGATTTGTTTTTGTGCAGTTTCAGGACAGGTTATGTGTCAATTATCCAGGATCAGGCGTTCCACACGCTGAATGTTCACAGGAACGACTACTGTGGGCTGGGAACCACCACGGACAGGATCGTCACTGACGGACGCACGGCCATCTTTGCAGCGTTTACACCATTCACATGTCTAACTTCGGCTGAGCTCTCATCACTGTACTGTGCTTGAAGTCTTCTGTAGATATCTGCGGGTTTTCACAAGAAACTTCCTCACCACACCACATTTCAGAGGCCAAAATCTCCCTTCATCAGGGCTTGGGCACATGCTTTCTGTTGAACTCTGTCTATAAACGTCTGGAGGATAATCTCTATCAGGAGAAAAGAAGTGTAGCAGGAGATATTAATCCTGTCTCATGGCTGTGATCTGCTGACTGGCCTCTCCTGTGTGACCTGACACTTGCCCTGACACAGACAAAGCAGTGATGGATTTCAGCCCCCCCTTTCTCCTCTCAGACTGTAAGAGAGAGAGAGCCAATTATAAGAGCCATTAAAGGAGCCAATGACAAGGACTCTTTCAAGCAGGAAGTGCAGCTGCAAAGCATTGTGGACGATGGAGTTTTGAACAGAAACGGTCGTATAGGCTGATATGGAGATAGAATAAAAATAAAGAACTACGAAAGCCATCATGCTTAGGGAGAGGAGAATGAAGGGGGCCATCTTGGGTTTCTCCTGAAGGAGGAGGGGACTGCATGTGGCAGGAGAGAGATTGGACCTGAAAAGAAGTGCTTTTGGGCAGTGCACTGGATGCTTGGTGATCTGCATCAGACAAAGGAACATCCAAACTGAGAGAAGTGGTCTACAGTACAGTGCCTACACTGACAGTGTGAAGTGCTCATCGTGAGGTGACCAGAGGAACCTGTCATTTTCAGGACGATCGTTTTGGGCCTTTGTCACAGGATCTGGTGAGAGGGATTTCTCCCACTGTCAGATGACAGGAACATTGCACACATACAGAGACATCATACCTTGCTCATATTCACCAGGCACTGGGTTGTGTAGATGGCCCTGCTGAACAGACACCGTGTTCACTTTACTATACAAATACTGCCACAGGATTACAATTACACTTTAAGTGTTTAAGGAGTTTAAGTGCACCAACGAAAGTGGTTAGCTGAAAATCCCAACATTCATCCAGTTACAAAGAGACTAAAGTTACTGGTGCCATACGGGCACGCGCATGCGTACTCAGGCCTCTATATTGCATGGTGTGTGAGGGAATAGCTTTACCTTGAAAGTAGCTATTAAGCATCATTTGGGTACAGTGTTTTCCTATTGGGATCATGGTGTCGGGGATTAGAAGGGAGAAGTCTGACACAACAGAGAGTCATTCTTCTGCTCTCCTTCTGCTTGGACATCATGGGGCCCATTTTATGAAGAGGAGTTCAATCCACTTTGAGGAAGTGTTTCCTCTGCTCTTGGGGTTATTCATGGTTGGAATCCCCTGAAAGCAGCCTGAGTGTAAAAGTGAGTTATATTGCTTTCCGTCACAGTATTTGCTGTTCTCTTGATTCTCCTAACATATACCTGTTGTTAATGTTTATTACTTCCCATAGAGGTCTACAGTAAAGCTGATCTCTGTGTTTTATTATAAAGTGTGTGCTTTTCATTGGTCCTTGCACTTACACTATTGCCAGGTGTGCCAGTGTGGGCTGAGACAGTTCTTGGGGTTGAGAGGCAGAGTGGCGGAGGTGAACAACTTTAAGCAGCCCCTTCGGGGGTATCGCTACATGTGGGGGCTCGTCCGGGATAATTTCCAATACTCTGCAATCAACTCTTAAAGATAGCGCCATGCTGGACCCAGAAGTCAGCACCTCAAAGCCAGTGACATCTTCAGAAGAATCCCTTTCTCTGCTAGTGGCTGAGTTTGGCAAACTAGTTACAGGGCTTCTCGAGAACTCAGTAGGGTCCATCAATTACAGGTATCGCAAACTACAGTTCTTCTCGGGGAAAGTTCCCACACCTTCAGGAGAAGATGACTTTGATACTTGGATGGATCAAGCCATCCAAGCTGTGGAAGAGTGGGATGTGATTGACACGGTAAAGAGACAGAGGGTGGTAGAGAGCCTGCGGGCACCAGCTTCTGATGTAGTTCGAAACCTGAAACGGGATAAAACCCACCTGCTCAGTTTCTGAGTGTCTAGAAGCACTCTGTGAAGTTTATGGGAGAGTTGAAGATTGCACAGAATTAATCTATCTCTTTCATCACACTTATCAAAAATGGAGGGTGAGAAGTTAATAAACTATGTCACACGGCTGGATAAAACCCTTCAACAAGTTTTAATGAAAGGTGGGATGAAAGCTGAAGAGGCCAATAAAGCCTTAATGCTACAGGTGCAAAGGGGAGCCCAGCCACTGGATCCCATTGTGCTACAACTTCGATCCAGGAGTCCAACTGACCTCCTCACTTACTCCAAATTCATAAAGGCTATTAGAGAGGAAGAAGCTCTCATTGCAGCCAAGGCACAGATACCTGAGTCTGCCAAGGGTCTCTTAAACATGGCGCTACAGCTTACATCATACAGTCTGGGTCTGCATCGGAGACCAGCTCAGATGGAGGG